GTTAGCCAATTGAGGAATGATGACAAGGAGTAGACAAGGGTGAATATTCTAGGTGAAGGGAGAAATGTGCAAGTCTTTCCCAAATGAGCAAAGAGCTTGGTGCATTCAGCAGCTGGGAAAATGTCCATATAGCTGTGATCTAGTGTGTGTGTGTGTGTGTGTGTGTGTGTGTGTGTGTGTGTGTGTGTTTGGGGGTGGGGGCAGTAAGCTTTGAAAACTTTGCTCTGGAACAGGGATTTTATCTAATGGCAATGGGGAGCTATTGAAAAGTTTTAACTGGAAAGTAGCCTAAGCACTTCTGTGTGTTAAAAGCTCATTTTGGCCCTGGCCTGGTGGCTCAGTGGGTTGGAGCATCATCCCATGCACCAAAAGGTTATGTGACTGATTCTGATCAGTGTACATACCTAGGTTGGGGATTTGATCACTGGTCGGGGCATGTCCTCTCTCTCTCTCTCTCTCTCTCTCTCTCTCTCTCTCTCAATGAATAAAACGTCCTTGGGTGAGGATTTTTTAAAAGTTCACGTTGGCTACAGTATAGAAAATGAATGGGAGGCAAAAAGAGAAAGACTAGATAGAGAGTAACCAATTACATCCTGGCAAAGAGATGATTGTGACTTGAAATATGGTGGCTGCCCTGGGGATAAAAGAAGAGGAAAGATGAAGAGATACTAATGGGGTGCAATCCACAAGACCTTGGAGAGAGTCACAGAAACCCCCAGACCCAGGAATATACCTAGAAAGGTGAAAACTCCACTTCCTGAGAAGGAGAACAGTGGAGGACAAAACAATTTGTCTTGGAGATCAAAAGGTCAGTTTTGAACATGTTAATTTTGATCTTATGATCTCTTTGATCTCTATGGGATAGATCAAAGACACAAGAAACACATGTTAAGTAGGTGATTGGATATATGAGTTCCATCAATTTTTAGATTTGTTGCTGCAGTATCACTTTAAACATTTGATTATCTGACTCCACCCAGGACTAATATATTAGAATCTTCAAGAGAGATAGCCAATTTAATATCCCAAGGTTAAATGTGGTGAAAATATTCAGTTATCACTAAATAGTTGCACTAGTTAAACTTTAAGCTTTCTGACAACCTTGAGTGCCTACAAATTTATGACTAGAAAAATGGCCAGACTGAATATTAAACCTGTTATTACTTTCTAGGAGTGAATGTGCTACACAAACCATGAAACATCCTGGAAAAGGAAAGCTATATCTAGATCCTTCTATTTACATTTCCATGTTTGTATCATATTATGCTGCCACCTTGGCCATTAACTAATTGATCCAGGAACCAGGTCCTAGCCAAAGGCAACCACATGATTGTCCCAGTGGTCTGTAAGATGATCTTTCTTAAGAATCCAGCCCAATGTTGCATCATTTTGGAGGGTAACTAATTTGCCAAATCAGATTTTATCCTGACCAGAGGAAAGGGGAGTGGGAAAAAGTATACCAGGAAAAACAAAAGCGTATGCATAAGGAGAAACACAAAAGTTAAGGGAGAATCAGGCAGAGAGAGAAGCAAGGAGAAACAGAAGCAGAGTCACAGGTGTGACAATTAGTAGGACAAAGGTCAAGAGACACCTGCTTCTGATCAGATGACAATGTGGCTAGATTCCCCAGTTCATTGCAGCTTATTTATTCAACAAGTATTTATTGAGTGCCTACTATGTGCCTGGCACTGTTGTAGGTACTAGGCATATTTAAATGAACAAACCTATTGTCATAGACATCTCATTCTAGGTACATCAAATTGAGTGCTATGGGAAAAAAATAAGGCAGTATGTAAGGACATAGATAGTGATGGTAGAAGGGGCAATTTTCAGGAAAGGAAGGCCTCTCTGAGAAGGTAACATTAGCTGAGCCACAATAGATAAAGAGCATTTCAGGACGAAAAAATGAGAAGTACAAATGCTTTTAAATGCAAGTCTGTTGAAATGTTTCACAGCAAAATAGTCCATAATGTTGGACACCAACAAACAAGGGATAGTGGGAAAGAAGATGAGGTCAAAGAGGGAGGCCACTGCAGCTCACTCAGGGACTTGGAAGCCATGGTTGAAGCCTTAACTTTATTCTGAATGTAACAGGAAGCCACTGAGGATTTTGATCAAGGGGATGGCATGATCACATTTGTGAGTTAGAGGAATTACTCCGGCTTCTATTGGGAGGTGGTAGAGGAGCAAGAGAGAAGTCAGGGAGACCAGTAAGAAGGCTACTCCAGAAGCCCAGGCAAGAAAGAATGGTGCCTTGCACAGAGCAGAAGCATTAGAAAATATAGAAAGCAGTCAGGTAAGGTATGCATTATGAAATTAGAGCTAACAAGTGTAGACAACGGGTTGGATAAAGGAATGGAGTCAAGGGTTACACAAAGGTTTTGATTCTCAGCAGCCAAATACAATTTATTGAGAAGGGAAAAACAAAAAAAAAAGAGCCAATGACTTTGGTTTTGGACATATTAAATTTGAGAAACTTAATAACATTCAAATGGAGAAATTTGGTAGCTAGTTGGAAATGGGGGTCTGAAGTTCAGGAAATATGTCAGGATTGCAAATATAAATTTGGGAGTCATCAGCTTATCAGTCCTGAGAGTGTGCCTGTTAAAATGGTTTCCTCTGCTCTAGTTCCCTCCTCCCCGCTGCTGTACCTTCATATGAAACTCTAATTATAGGAGGTAGCCTGGCCAGGTCTGTTTCCTGGAACCTGGTGGAGCCACAAGTAACATAGCAACTAAAAAAATAAAAAAATGAATGCAAGAGCTAGAAGACTAGCTTGTGTATGCATCACTTGAAATGTGCATAGGTGGGATTAGTAGTATCCCTCTCCTCCTTCCACTTTGGCATCTGTACCCAGTAACTTTTTTTATTATTATTGATTTCAGAGAGGAAGGGAGAGGAAGAGAGAGATAGGAACATCAATGATGAGAGAGAATCGTTGATCGGCTGCCTCCTGCATGCCCCCAACTGGGGATGGAGCCTGCAACCCGGGCATGTGCCCTTGACTGGAATCAAACCAGGGACCCCTCAGTCTACAGGTTGATGCTCTATCCACTGAGCCAAACTAGCCAGGGCCCCAGTAACTCTTCATAACCTAATAAGAGAGGAGGATAAAGGAGTCTTGCTATTTGTTTTTGTTTTGTTTTACTAAGCAGCTTACTCACTGAGTCCTTCATGACGCCCCTTTTTGTCAGGGTGATTCTTTTTCAGAACTCTTCATCATATCTGTTGCTGCTTTGCTCTCCCAGAAAATGCTTTTCCCCTCGGTAATTGCATGTTCCAATGCAATTTGAAGAATTATACACTCAGGGCAATTGTACTATTGTATTTAGCATCTCAATAACATTTCCTTTGCTAATTCATCTTTCTTATTAAAGTTTCTTATTGCTTAATTTTATCTTGGAATATTTATTTCTAGTTCTTAGGGACAGGTAGACTGAATAAAACATGTAGATTTAGCTTTCTCTTTTCTTTTATCAGAAGCAGGAAACTTACCTAGGTATTTACTAGTTATAAATGAGGATCTAGCTAAGTGGTTTGTAATAACACCCTCATAATCTCTTAAAAGAATTACGGTGCTTTCTCAAGCCTTTAACTCATGACCAAAAATGACTAATATTGAATGACCATCCTGGAGTGCTGGATAGTAGTAAAATTATAAGTAAAAATGTGCAATATAACTAAATTTCCTAAATGTTTGGATCCCACATTCTTATGACATTTGAGAACTAAATATAATGAAAACCACTAGCCCTTGGGGCCTCGGTTTTAAGATTTCTCTTTAAAAATAATGCTATTATTCTCTGAGGACATGAGAACAGTATTACTTTATTTAGTTAAGCTAACCAAAAATAGAACAGAGGAAATCATTAAATGAGTGAACATATATCTTTCAGTGTGGCCCATTCATGTCAAAACTGATATGTCTTAAAAGTACAAGATGACTTACATTAGAGAAAATATCTCAAAAACGATACATTTATCATCAGAGAAGAATGCCTGAGAGTCTCAATAATTACTCCGGCATAAACTACAATGCTGATGGTTGTGTTATTTACTGCAGTCTCGCGAACAAGCAAACATAGTGTTTTATAGCAGCACAGGAAGGAAGTTTACTGAAAAGTAGCTCTTAATGTGTCCATTTATATCCCACCTCCCTGAAAAGGCCTCAAATCTAGAGAGAATACAGAGTGGAAAATTTCACTCTCAATTTAGACGTCTCTCCAGGCTCCTGGGGAAGATGCTCGCTGGCTTCTGCTGTGGCTGAAACCGAGCTGGAGATGACATGACGACCCCCTGGGCCAGCGGCTCAAGGCCAGACTGGAACATGAGCTACTGGACTGGACACATTCTGCCTTATGTCAGGAACATTTTGGTGTGAGAAATAAAAGAAGCCTTTCCTGGAATTGCTGTTGGTCAAAATTCTGATACACTTAGATGTTCTTTTAGCAGTTCCAATTTTAGGGAGAAATTCTGGGGAAACGCCAGAATCTGAGTTAGCATTCTTAGTTGTTATTCCAACAGCTGTTATATGTTCAGCTAATAGCTGTCTGATTGGGTTTCTTAGCGCTGCTCCCGACACAAGGCAAGGAGGCAGCACTCTACATTAAATCTGACCAAAGTTCTACTTTGTTTAAGCCAAGAAAAAAAAATGACACTCATCTTCCAATACTGGTAAGAGTAATTAGGGATTCTGGGAAAATACCTTCCAGAAAAATATGTGAGGAAGGGTTAAAGAAAGACCTTTGTCATTATTTTGGAAAATCTGAATTTCCAGGCAGATTCTAAGACATCTCTAGTTATCCCTGCTTCAACCACCTATTTTATCTTGATGAAACCAAGTTTTCAGTAGGTGAAGCATCTTACTAAAATTCACATTACCGAGTTGTAGAGCTGAGGCGAGATCTAGGTAATTATCAAGCATATGGTCCTTGAGAGCAGACGGCCTGCGAGCTATGAACTCAACACTCGCACAACCCGAAACAGTACCTGCACAGTACCTTTCATGGTGGGTGCTGTGTACACGCTCTGCTTCCTCTGCTTCGGAGATGCATTCTGTGACTGTGGACAAAGAGAAAAAGTAAAAGTCTTGTATGTGGATAAAAAGACAATGCCATCAGCCCTGTGCGGGAAATAAACACTGTGCTGCATTTCAAAGAGCTTTCTGACTTCCCTCCTCAGGAAATTTAATCAATGAGAACTCTAATCAGTAGAAATTATAGACATGTTCAATGATATTACAGTCTTAAAAAAACATATGAAGCTGTGGGGTATATTTTACCATAAAACTCTTCGTCCAGTGCAGTCTTAAAATTGCCTTTTATTTTTTCATCTAGTAACATTATTTTATTTCTAAAAGGAAGAGAAAAAGAGACACTAATCCTTTCCATTTGAAAGAAAAACCTAAGTGCCAGGATAAAATATACTCCAAAAGCTATGTCCATGGAATGATTATCCTGTTCCTAAGATTGTCAAATGGTTCTGGTGGAATAATAAGGCGTTGGTCAGTAATACCAGTCAATCTATAACCCTCTGGAATTCATAAGCTCAATCTAATATCTACATTTACTTGGAATTACAATGTCAAGATAATATTTTTTTTCTATGTTCAAAAGATAAATCCTTTTCTAACAAAACGGCTGTATGACACTCTTACCTAAGCATATTGGGTCGGGATTTTTTTCTCTCAGACGATTCTTGAACAATGCAGGGGTTATGGACACCGAAGGCCCCACCCAGTGACTTGACTGCCCCAAACTTACCGTAATTAGCCTTTCAGGTGAGCAGATTAAACCAACCACTTAAGGAAAAAAGTATTTTTGATTCAGGGTGGGGGATCTGGAGTTGGGAAATTGGCTTGAGAATGAGAAAATACTGTTTGCAACCTGCAGTTGGTTGAATCTGTGTATGCAAAACCGGTGGGTTGGAAGTGTCATCTGTATTCATTGAAGAAAATCCACATACAAATGGACCTGCACAGTTCATATCCATGCTGGGTATGTGTATATATATAATATTATTTATTATAATAATATATGTGTGGTCTATACTCAAATCAGACTATGTCTGACTCCTTTTTAATAGTGTGTCAATTTGTATCTTAATATGTAAAATGTAGAATTTTTAGTGTCTGGAGCAATTATTTTTGCTTTGAAAAGCTCAAGTATAAATAGTTACAAGATACTTTTGGGGAATTATTCTACACTTATATTAGAAAGAACATAATGTACAGTCTTAAAAACACACACACACCTAGAAACTGTTTCACAAAGTTGAAAATAGAAATTGAGGCATCTCTCCTGGTACATACTAAAGCTTAATTGTTCTTAAAGTATCATCACAATGTTGGTATTTACCTGATGCAAAAACAATCTATTAAAAAGCAAAAAATAATTATTGGTTAACAAAATTATATAGGTATCAAAATTTAATTTAATGAAATAATTTATCGAATGAATTACATTTTAAAATTTTAACTTTAAAATTATATTTTGACACTGTAAGATATATTTGAGTAGAAATATAGAACACAGAAATATATTGACAACTAAAATCTACTGAAAATAAACAAAAAAAGATTGAAAAATGTCTTAACATAATAGCTCATTTAGCAAGTTAGCAAATTAAGTGGATATTAAATAAATACTAGTATTATTTTTTAAAAGTAAAAAAATTCAAACAAATAATTGCCAAATCCATATCAACCAAAGAAATGGTATAACCAAATTTCTCCAGAATGGAATGTTTTGGTAACAGTCCATTATGCAGAGGTGCAGGCAGGGGGACTCTGCAAAATGGATTGCAAACATGTGAATGATTGACATTTCTGGTGTACCTCTGCTGTATTCAGTTCGATCCTCTTCCAGGATATCTTATATATTTATTTTCACACACATATTCAAAGATCAAGTAGAAAATTAACTCTTTAGAAAAGTCTGTTTTGTAACAGTAGTAAAACTTTAGTAATAAAAACTATATTTATGTGAGAGTTCAGTCTCCAAAACATTTTCACATGTATAATTTCATTACATTTTCAGTATTTTGATATTTTGTTCTTTCTACATTTTTCTGATTATGTACTATATGCCTACTTATGCAGCCTTTGGGAAATTGACTTCTAAATCTGCATGCAACTTATTAAATATTTGGCTCATTTCTGGGTGCAAGTTTACTCACTTCCTTGCATTCTATATATTCTACATCACCAGTTTCCCTAGCCTCTCTTGGCTCCCATTCTCTATTTGAGCTCCTCGATGTGTGTTTGGAGACTCTGGCCTCATGATCTGCTCTTGCCTTCATATACCAGAACCTTTTAAGAGGTGCCTGTCCCCCTTCTCTTTGCTCCAGAATTTCAACATTGGCTGTCCTCAGCCTGTGATAGTCCTATGCCAGCAGTCACTAAATTGAAATTATCGATACCATATCTTGCCACTAAAAGCAATAGTCTATTTGAGAACTTTTTTCAAGGGTAAGTATTTCTAGATAGAGAATTAAGGTAACCTACAGGCAGAGACTTAATGGCACATTTTACTATGTGTTCATCACAATTATATTGATGTCACATTTTATATCACAAAATCAAATTATAAGAAAACTTACTTCTGCTTGCGTGTTGGTCACCCTCTTGTCATCTATTTCTGCAAGAGAAGTAGGTGTAATTTATTAGAAAGGTGATATTCTTTCTTATGATATCATTAATATTTTCAGTAACCCAGATCAAAATGATTTAATAATTGCCTATCAATAAATATAAAACCCTAATATGCAAATAGAATGAACAGCGGAATAACCGAAAAATCGAACAACCAAACAACAAGTCGCTATGATGTGCGCTGACCACCAGGGGGTGTGCGTGAACATAGCAGGCATCGGCAGCAGGTGGCAGAGTAGGGCACATGACAGGCATCGGCCATGGCTGGATGGTGCCAGACCAAGGTGGGGCACCGGTCACTGTCTTCGGGATGAGCCTCTGGTGGTTACTGAAAATTCTTTGCTCCTGGGCACTGAGGTCTCACCTGGTGCTCGCACCTGCTGCCAATGACAGAGCTGCCGCTCCCACCCACTGCCAGCGCCGTCAGCAGGTGCAAGCAGCATCTGCCAGCCCCAATTACCCCTGAGGGCTTCTCTACCTCCCCCTGCTCCTGAGGGGCGATCAGCAGCCTTAGCTCACACCCGCTCACGCTGGCCCTGCTCTCACCCGCTGCTGGAGCTGGCCCCAATTGCTCAGCACCATCAGTGGGAGAGAGCGGGACCAGCACTGTCAGTGTGTGGGAGCAGTGGTGGTAGGAGCAGGGCTGCTGGCAGGCAGGAGACCGGGAGTCTCGGGATGAGGGGCCGAGAACCGCCCCTGTGCCCACCACAGCCTCGCAGCCCACAGTTCCTTTCAAGGTGCACGAATTCATGCACTGGGCCCCTGGTGCTTATATAACATCTGTGGCTTAGTCTACAGGAAAAAGGAACAGAAATGAGTTTTTTCCTTCTAAGATAACCTTTTCCCAAAGTTTTTTTAAAAAGACATTTAAAAAATCCCTCCTGAAATTCCAAATTTCCCACCTTCCAGCAGTCCAGAAAGTGTTCACGGAAATGACTCTTAGACAACTATTGGTGTCATCAGCCTCAGAGTGCTGAAGCATAAACAACCTGCTCTTCTCGTGGATTTTGCTGCTACTGTCTATGGACTGTTGCCTCTGTCAAATTTCCTCAAGTTTGCCATTAAGCAGAACAAACCTCCCTTTTCATTCAGCCCAATTACTCTGGCTCTAAGAGAGTCACCACCCTCTTTTCTATATGCCACAGTGACTTTGTCAGAAATATTTCTTATGACAGTGTTAGGGCAACTTCTACATAGTCTGTGTGAACAAGTGGTTCGGAGGGAAGAGAGGAGAAAGAGGTCCTCACATAGTCCTCTTTCCCCGAGGGAGGACACTCCAGGCTGAGCCTTCCTGCCTCTTCACCTCCTTTGCACGGATTCCACCTCTAGGCTTCTTGACCTGGTTACCCTTTCCTGCCTCTGAGGTTCGTCCTGAAGCTGAGAGACTGATCCAAAACTGAGTGAGGAGTTCCTCAAAGAATATCTGCTTAATGATATAGATCTGTGTTTATGGACATAAAAACATGTGCTATATAAATGAAAAGGATTTGGAAACTATATTATGGCATTTTAATGTATGAATGATAGAGAAAATATCAATAAAGAGATAACAGAGAAATGCATAGATATAGAAAGGATATATACCAATATGTTAAATGTAGTTATCTCTGGGTATTTGAATAACACATTTTGTCTTATTTTTATCTGCATTGTTTGCTTGTTTTACAGTAAATATGTATCTGAATGTATATGGATATATAGTAAAATTTTTATATATAGTAAAAATTATATATATAGTAAAATTTTTATATAAGTCCATGGTACATAAAGTTTTTTATTTCATATAGTAAGAGACCAAAATAGCCAAACAACTAGAATGAATAGTATATATAACTATTGTTTATTCTAATATTATCTTGGTTACTAGCTTTTAAGAATTTATGACTTTTATCTCTCTTGTATAGGGGAAGGCAGACAGGAACTCCTTAGTTGGGGACAGCAATCACAATTGTTTAATGTAACCCCTAGAAGCATTTGGCTCATAATCAGGCAGTTGTGAATTGAACATTTCTAGCTAGTAATGTGAAATCTTTACTAACACCTTTTAAGTAAATATCAAATATGATCTACCCTAACAATGCATGTATGGTGAGCCATTGAATTATCAAATGCCAATGGAGTTTCTTAATATTTTGTTTATGCCTTAGCAATTTTAAAAATCTAACCCAGGACTCATAAACTATTATTTAAGCAACAAAAGAAAGTCCAATCATCCAGCTTTATACTTTCCTACTGTCTATTTATAAGACATAACATACCCTAAAACAGTATCTTTCTAAGGCAAGTGTATGGGTTTTACTCATTGCATAATTCAATGAAAAAGGTTTCTATTCTTTGTGAATTTTATTGACATAAATTGGGTATTTTTTCATAAATACAAAGATCAAAAAAATTCAGAACTGTGTTCTTGAAATTAAAGAGTAAAAATTACATGACTTTTAAGTCAAAGCAACTCAGACAAAAGTACAAGCCAAGCCAAGAATGGATCATAGATGTTTTTGAGATCCACTAATGTAAGTAAATTTCCATTTTCTTTAATTAGATTGTTATTAAATTGGAAAGGTTCATCTTTTCGGCCTTCCAGCCACTTCATATAAATACACACACACACACACACACACACACACACACACACACACACACTGCATGCTCATAGGGTACACTGGGAAAACATAGGGACACAACATACAGACACAAACACAATGTTCTCTCTAATTTGTACCAAGGAGGTTGTAACTGAAGGAGGAGACCCCAAAAAATACATATGCACACTTCTCCAGCTCTTTATTCTCTACAAAAACATTAAATAGAGTTCATAATATCTCCATGTTCTCTTCAGGGCCTCAACTTTAACTCCCTGGCTAATACCAGAAATGTTTAGAAAGCTAAGTCATCAATGAAATATAAGAATATATTTCTGTCTTTAAATACTGTTTAGCTTTCTCATTAAATAAAAATAAATACCATATTGAGTAGGGTGCAGCACAATCAGTAAATACCTGAGAGATTTGTTAACTGATGGTACATAATCTAAAACTACAAATATTCTGAAATATGCCATTGTACCTATTTTAGCTTTCTTAACTATATTTTTCCCTTTTTAAGGGCCATTTGGTCTGAAAGAAGAAATTTCTTGCTTTGAGAGACAATTGTATAAGTCATCTAAGCATAATGTTTCAAAGAATATTGATGTCATTGATGATGGAGACGGGGATAAAAATAGCCTAGAAGGTTTGAGTATTGATTAGTTAGAATACTCTTGAGACATTTAAATTCATGAAAGGACATACTCAAGTCAAAGCAACTCAGACAAAAGTACAAAGCAAGCCAAGAATAGATCATAGATTTTTTTGAGATCCAGTGAAGTAAGTACATTTCTATTTTCCTTAATACATTGTTATTAAATTGGGAAGGTTATGTAGATATGCACATAAACTGCAAACACAATTGTCTCTTTTTAATTTAATTTAATTTTTTCCATCACTATTTATCCCCTTTATGCCTTCTTCCACTCTCCTGCCACACTGTTGTCCATGTCCATGAATTCTCTTTTTTCCTTTTTTGCTCAATCCCCCCACCATACACCCAACACCTTTCCACCTCCATCAGAGTTATCTGCCTGCTCCGATTTTGAGAAGACTAGTTATAATAAAAAAGTGCTTATGAAAATAAAGTCCAAAAGAGAAGGAAATAACGAAGACCATGATCAAAGAATAAGGAAAAGTTTCTGAACAGCAACAGAGTGAGAACTACAAAAACTAAGATGTGGGCAAAATATAAAGAGATAGAGGACCAAGGAAAGACTAGAGAATCTTGATTGCAGCTGACCAAGAAATATGTTTCTGGATGAAAGCACTAGAGAGCACACATAATTCCTAATATGATTCTTCTACTTTTCTGTCTTGACCATCGACAAGTCTCTTTATTTAATGAGCTTTGAGGTTTTTCCTATCTGTGAAATGGGGTTGGGAAAGCACAATAATTCTCTGCCTTCCTCATTTCATCCTAAGCTTGTTTTTAGGAATAAAAAATGTGAACAAATTGGAGCATAACGCCCCACTCCTTAATTATGGGGTGCACATAGAGAAAGGAGACATAAATATTATAAACACCTAATAATCGATCATTGAAATATATGAAGTAAAAACTGATGGAATTAAAAGGATAGTTCTACAATAATAGTTGGAGATTTCGATACCTCATTCTCAATAATGGGTAGAGCAACCAGGAAGAAGACAAGTAAGAAAATAGAGTTTTTAACAACCTAATTAATGAAATAGGCAAAATAGACAGTAACAGAACATTTGCTCTATAATAGCATACATAATTCTTCCCAAGTGCACATGGGATATTTTCCAGAATAGACCACAAATTAAATCTCAATAGATGTAAAAAGATATATATCAAAAAAGTATCTTCTCCAACCACAATAAGATTAAGTTAGAAATCAATAACAGCAGTAAAACTAGAAAATTTAGAAATGTGTAGAAATTAAACAACACACTCTTAAACAACCAATGGATCAAAGAAAAAAATCCTAAACACAGAATACCAGAGCTCAAGGGATACAGCAAAGGTAGTGTTCAGAGGAAAATTTATAGCTATCACTTCCCACATTAAAAAAAAATTAAAATCAGAAACTTAACTTTATAATTTAAGGAAGTAGAAAAAAATAACAAACTAAATGCAAATCTGAAGGCCTGAGAACCAGGGAGATTGATAGTATAAGTCCTGGTCCAAGTCCCTTGAGCATTCAGGCTTACAACAGAATTCTTACTATTGCCACCGCCGCCCAGTTCTCAGGCCTTCGGATTTGGACTGGAGCTACACAACTGGCAGATGACAGATCATGGGACATCGTAGTCTCTATAATAATGTGAGCCTATCCCTCATAATAAATCTCTTTCCATATATCTATTTATATCCTATTAGTTCTGTTTCTCTGGAGAACCCTAACTAATATAATCATCAAAAATGAGGAAAGCA